CATTAACGCAACTGATACCCAGCACATCCACATTCGGTAGTGATAGCGCCACCATGATAGCTTCTGCGTCGTCGTTCCCGGGGTCGCAGTCAATCCACATTTGAATACGATCTGCCATTACGGTAACTTATGATAAACACGTGCGTACTATCAATCTATGGAACCACTGCGTCTCACTCAATCTGCTAATTCCGTCGTGTTGAGGTCATGGTTGAGGTCAAGGTCGAATTAGTCAATGTTACCGCAGGTGGCGTTATATATTGAACTCGCATCCAAACTACTACAAATACTCAGACCAGATTCGACAGCCCGGCTACATTCACTTCGTTAAAGCGGGTCCGTCGTCGCGCTGCGCATGTCCAGAGTTTTTATTTACAAACACCTTTTGTTGCCCACAATGCACCTCGCTATTTTTTTCTAATTCAAAATGGCGGCAAACTACGATTTAGCGATGATTGAGGAAGCACTGCGAACAGTTGAAAACGTTGATGAACCAAGGTCCTGCAAATGCAAAGGTGCCTGTATGCGGAAACACGGACGTGGAGCTTGTCCTTGCAAGACATGGGACGAATTGTGCAACGATGCATGTAGTTGTGGTAAACACCGGCCATGCATGAATAAGGCATCGGTAAGCGAAACTTTATATTTCTATTTTTTACTCCATGTAAATTTTACATTGGTTTTTGTACATTTTGGGTGGATCATTTATTCATAATCACGTACCTCAAATGAGACAAACATGTAATAGTTATCAGGTATTAAATATGATAATACCGTCATTGCGGTAAATCACCACCTAGCCAAATACAGTTCTGTAGCTCACGATTACCGGTCTTCGGGTTCCAAGGGTGGGTGGGTCGCTAAGTATTCGGAACACACAGTTATCGAAGCACACGCAGGGTTATCCACTGCCTAGCATGCGTATATTATTAATAGCCATTTTAATTTTAGTAATTTTGTATTATTTAGTAATTTAGTGATTGTATTTTGTTATTTAGCATATTGTTTTATATTTGTTGCTTGTACCTTGTGACCATTTCCTTTCCCTTTTCATAAAATAAAAATAAACAAATAAAACAGATGTCAAAGTCATTACAAGCAGGAATTTATAACTTAAAAAGATGCTGCTAATGCAACACTAAAACAGTAGTTGGAAGGGCTTGTGTGTTTTGTTTATTGACAGTCATTGGCCTTGTAAATGATAGTCCAGGAAGTTATATAATCAAATGCACAGACTATGTGTCTCTTCTTGATATTCCATGACACAGTATTTATCCAATTATATTGATCATGTGAATACTTGTAAGCTTGCTTTGTTTATTTTGGAATTCTATTACATGCTGCTAATATTTTATTGCCTGAATGTCACACCGAGTAGTAGTGTGTATTGACACAACAATGCTCTTGCAGCCAAATAATATGATTTTGTACTATTTGTTGAGAACATCTTCAGAAAGAAATATTGATTGATAGTGATTGATCCTACCAAAATACTATACACCCACCAAAAAAATTTTCACCTCACCTATTTATCAAAAATAGTTATGGTACCCCCCCCCCCCCAATATTTTGTGTGGGGTACAAAAGGAAGTCTTTCTTTAAATTCATCCTTGAAATTGTTTGTATCGTTTTCTTGAATTTTAGTTTCCAGTGCCCCAACATTTTGATTCATAGATTATAACTGATTTGTTTAAGATGTTAAATAATCTCATTTTTAGGTCTATATATCTAAAATTCTAGAGAGATTATTTTAAATGTAAATTGATTTGTCTGTTTTTGTAGCCAGATGTGACATTACATTTTTGAAACTTGCCATATGATTTTATTACTATTCCCAGATATGTGTAGTTGTAATTTTACAAAGTTAATTTTGTGGAAATCAATGGTAAATTTAGACTTGTTACATGCCTCAACTGTATGAAGTTTGATGTACGCCAGTTTTTATTCCACGAACAGCATTCAAAATTTACTAATCAAAACTATATTGTTGTATATAAATTTAGATTAAAATTAGACCATTCAGGACTAGTTGTCATGAAAATATATTTTTCTTTTTATTCAACATACCATTATAGTCACCTAATATGACAAACACCATATCATGTACAATTATCAAGGGAAATAATTTAGACATATACCCTTTGTGTACACCTCTGAAATTTTGTTGGTTTGTGGGGATATTTAGGGTGAAAATAAAATCATAAAATAGAAGTATATACAATATGGATTAGATGATATGCTGAATGTGATTTTTGTTCAACTATGTTTACAGTAGAGATTTTTAATTTACACCTGGCTATGAAGCATAATTTACCTACATTTCAATGTTTTTCCCATGAATATATAATTTATTGCATTAATAACTTTTTCATTTTTTTTTTACCTAATTCAATATTTTTGTGGCTGTAAACTAATAAAAATATTATTTCCAAGCATTTAATATTATGTTATCTTTGTTTTTAGGATTCTACATCTGAAGACTCAGATGGGGCTGAAGATGCAGTAGCAGTGAACACTCGCATCCCTCAGAGAAAACGACGACTAGTGGTGCAGAGACAGGTGCCGCTCAGTGAGGAGGATAAACAAAGAGACCACAAAAGAAAAATGCAGGTAAAGATTTGATAGCGCTTACACATATTCTGTGACCTGGAGACAACAAACCGGAAGCTAGGACATATTTTGAATGTTCCAAACGCACAGAGTTGCAGTGCACCGAACATCGATGTTTCCAACTCAACGCAAAAATTCCCCTGAAATAAAACTGCCACCTTCTTTCAACTAACTCGTACCAGCCTCTTACAATTTGCACACTATTCTGCCGAGCATGCAAATTATCTTTGGCTATAGCATAATATTTTTATATTTTTTGGGAGTTGAAAAACTGTCTTATTCACACACATACACATACCATCTCTATTTCAGTCTGTTTTTTTCTGAAAATCATCTTTTTAACTGAAAATTCATGTTTCTCAGCTGTCTTAAATAGTTCTTCCAGCTGCCCTTGTTTGTAGCCACCCACACTCACTCCACTATCTTTAAAAAACTTTTTCAAATATGTCACTGACTTCACTGACTTCCGGGTTGCATGTCGACCGGTGTTCATTTGACTTTTTATATTTTTGTCCTACCCTCACCTGTTGCTATGTAGGTTACGCATGTGCAAATAGAATTACACCACGTCTGACAATAATTCAGAAATAGGGATTTGTGCTCATAAATGTTATTCTTTTTTTAAAATCGCCCCTTTTCAGAAGTGCATAAGACCTAAGTGCAGAATTAAGACAATCTATTTCCATTTTTTATGAGCAGTACTTGAATTTGTTATTCAACCCTCCCCCCAAAACAAAAACTATGTTTACTGTGTGCGTGTTTCAATTACCCATGTCATTTTAGTAAGACTGAAGTCAGTGGTATGATTGTTGTTTACAGTTGCAAATACATGTATGAAATTTCTTATTTTTCAGGAATTTGTTAGTGGTCTACCCAGAGAAAGGCTTGAGCATATAACATTAGAGTTGTTCAGACGTCAACCAGGTGCGTGTGCTGACTTGGTATTACAAGAAGGCTCAGACCCCACCATCAGTAATCCACCTCCAGATCCACTACCTGTTCCCAAGCCTAATGAGACTACTCCACCATGGTGCAAGTGTGGACAATGCATAAATATGCCAACTCAGATTGAGAACAAATGTTGTGTTGTCAGACAAGGCCAAGAGTGTCTTACTGGTTCTTGGTTATTCCAACATTTAGTATTAGATGGTGATGTCCTTGAAGTAGCAATGAGAGTGGTGGCTGATGTATATGCTGAGAATCCTCTTAGAGACAATGCATGTTTTCGTCACTATGCCTATAGGCAATTTATTTATTGGCAATATGGACGTTTGGGGAAAGGTAACCGTCGTGTTGTACCATCATGCTGTGTTTGGGCAGTAAGGCGAAGATTTCCTAGCCCCAATAATGTATATGTTGGCTTTAAAGAAGGTGCAATACAGGATTGATCATCTCTGGTCTTGATTTATATTATAAATACTAATCAGTTAGTCACATTTAATAATGCACTTTGTAACAACTGTATAAATAAGAGAATAAAAAAATTAGCAGCTAGATTCCAAACAGAATTTATATGATAGTTAATCTCAATAGCCATACTGTAAACCGCTTTAATTTTGCTTGCTATACATTTTTACGAAAACCTGAAAATCATGTTTAAAACAGTATCATCGTTTAAATCTGGCGACGTTCAAAGCTTTGGCAGGCATTGTAATTGTTAAACGTAGCACAGATACAAATACCAGTATGAGAGAGTCAATAAAAAAATTATGTGGCTTTAAATTCCAGGCAACTTTCACAAAATTCAATTGCCGCTGATGTGCCTCAAATTAAAAAATCATGAAATTTTCTAGCCGCCAAATTGTAACTGTTTACAGTATTCTCTGGTCACATTGGGTTTTAAACTTGGATGTTAGCAATAATAGAGTTCCCTTTGATCTATGTGGTCAGATGACTAACATGGCCTTTCAAACTGCCAAATTTGTTCAGCTGCTGTAGTCATACTTCTATGTAGTGTACAATATAGAAAAATAAACTTTTCACATTCAGTTTTCTTGGTTGGCATTCGATGTTATTCATGGTTTTCTTACTACAGCACTTCTGGCATATTACAGAGTATGACATGGTAGGAGTGTGTACAAATCTTTTGCTGAGCAGTCAATACAGGAGAAGGGACAGAAGCATGCACACTGCGTACACAATATGCTAATGACCTTTAAAAGGAAAGTCAAGGCTAACAACATAATACTCCCAAAAAAACATGTAAATAAATATTTTCAGTTCTGTTTCCATGACAACTATTTTAGAAGCACAAGTACATATATGCTACCATGTTCTAAACTTTCAGCCAATTTGAAGTTTTCACTTTTGAAGTTATAGATGAAATCATTTTCTCAATTTCTGACAACAGATTCTATGATGTCAGACTTTACCCATAATCCTTTGCTTGCTTGACTACATACGGTAATACGGATGAAAAGTTGAATATCTAGAGAATGAAAACATTGCATTCTCCTACATTTATGGAGCTTTTTCTTGAGGGGTCATTATGTTGTTTGGCTTGACTTTTTCTTTAACAAGGTTATGATGAATATCATTTGAAAGTGCATTTATTGATAGAAAATATTTATTATGAAACGCTGGAACCACGAATATTCAGTCTTGACCCACTTTCTATCATACTAAACTGGACACCATATTTAACAACTGTTTCTGGCCTTTACACTGTAGTATGCACGCCGAAACAGGTTTTGATTGTATACAGCGTCATCAGTGGCTGTTCCTGGCCCCATGTGTCAAGTAGTCTGTAATAAGGAAAAAGAAACAAATTTTGAGAAAACTTGTCAGCCTGAAACTAGTTGCAGATGGTAAAATTAATGTGAGAAACAAATACAGACTTTTCCTGCACGTTGTATTATAAAGCAGAAAACCCTCCATACATCAATAACACGGTTACTCTTATAAATTATGTTGTTCAAGGTCTATTTGTATTTGTTGATTGTATTATAGGGTCATAAGCAGTGTTGAGTGAACCTATATTTTTATTATGATTTGGCTGTTAGCTTTTAATGTACTAGTGAGGCGCATATGAAATTTGGCCGGTTCCAAAAAAAATATTGCTGCACATGTTAGTCAGTACAGCCACAGGAAAAATCATGCCATGGTTGTACTTAGAAACATGTACAGCAAGATTTGTTTGTACCCAGTCATTTTTAATAAGGACTTCATTAGTACAATATACAACTGACCCATAACAAAAATACACAAAACTTATGAATACAGGAATCAACAAGGGGTTTCCAAGAAAGTGCGAATGTTACGTTTAAAAAACCTGCTCCATTTTGAAATAAAAATTTCAAGATTTTTACTGAAACTCTGGGTGGTTTCTGGTTTCTTGTATCAAAACCCAAACTTGTTACTGACCCATGGCTGATTTGGAGCAGAATCCAGTACTAATATAAATAACACTAAAGTAATTAGATTCTGTTACAATACCTGGTTAGATGTAGTACAATCTGATGTAGATGATCTTGAAAATCTACTCAGATGTTGTGAAACAAGATCTGACAAGCTTGGTGGGTCCATAAGAGATCTTCTCCTGTGGATTCGGCGTGGATCATCTTCAGCAAATGATATGTGCTGAGACAAATGCCCTTCAACAGTAGATCTCATCCTGAATACAAGTTCTTGTAGCTCAGTAATATAAGTATATTGTTTTGGAACCAATACAGCTGACGGGTAGAATCTTTTTGACTGTTTTGAATAGTTGATTTTGAACCTAGATAGAAAAAACATGTCCAGTCATACAAAGTATGGAAGCAAGAAATAACAACAGTTTTCTAAAGTAAAATTAGGAGCCATTCACAAAATAGATCTGCTCAAATTCTACTCATGATCACTTTGACCAAAAACTAATAGTAGTTTCGATTTGTATGAGTAGCGTCACCAACACAAAAATGGGATACCAAAAAACGTTATCATTCAACCCATCTGTCCAAAATATCCTGGACAGGCTATTGAATTACAAAGTTTAGTAAAGAAAGTATTTTTTACTTATGAAAAATTGATCAGATTCAGATCAATGAATGAGATCTGATTTTTGTTCAGTGGAAATCAATTCATAAACACAATTTCTAACAAGATCTAATTTTGTCACTGGCAGTGTTTTGTTACGTACTTTGGTTGTCCATCTTCACTAACAGCTTGTTCACGTCCAGCATGCATGTTAAAATCTATGGCAGCGAGCTGGGTCCTAGCCTTATATCCAACAAATCTGAAAGAACCATACATTGAACATTTATTATTAGATTTTATTGAGAGTAGCTTGATAAGTCATAAGTTTTTCTACTACAAAGTTGCATATGATAATATACTTACGTGTACGAGTGTCGTTTGGGAGCATACATCAACATGTGGCTATGAAAAGATTCCAAGAAACCAGTATGTCTGATGATGTAAACCAAAAAATACATATTTTAATTAATCATATAAAATAGCAGAAATGAAAATGTGTAACAAGTTCATGTACACTATGTTTAAAATCCTGCGCTGAAAGATAGTCATAAAATACAATGATAATGTGCACCTGAAGTTAGTGTAGTGCCCAAGATTTTTCAGCAGGCGCTTATCCTCTACAATATTTCTAAGGGCCAAATGAGCAGGTGATCCTTTTTCGAGCCAAGGCTTACACTGGTTTTCTACAGACAGGGGTTCATGAGCACATCCACCATATGTACCATCAACATTCAATAACCACTCATGTTCATTAACCACATGATGCAGAATGCCAAACCAAATTGCCTGCAAAAGATCAACATGATATTTGTACCCATGTAATTATAATATAATTATATAGAAGAATACACAACACTCTAGTGCTCAACTAAAACACATAAACTAAATATGACATATACCTTCATTTTCCTCTCATCACCACCACATTCCTTGGAAGCATACCAAAAATGGTTTCTAACCGCAGTTGCCCACACAAGTAGTTCCTTACAATTCTTTGATTTTGATGCCTGAAAACAAAATGCTAATTTGTTGATCATCAGATGGAAACCATTACATGAAAACGGAAAATTGGAAAGCTTGGAAGTTGGCTGGTGGGGATTAAGTCAATGAAAAACTAAAATATAGCAATATTATGTGATATCATTTGTGTACTTCATCAACATTTGTAACCTACCTCTACACCTTTTTAAGGATATTTTTTTCCACCATGCCACAGGTCCCATGAATGTTTTATGTCTGTGTACTTATCACAGTTGCTGAAAGAAGCATACCATAAGCATAATGATGGGAAGATCATTTAACTTGTAAATTGGAATGATTCGTGATTTCTTGATTCGCCTCCACATTGCTCACATAACTGCAACATTATCAAATTTTTTAAAGCTGATTGCCATAAAAAAGGATGTTCACTGAACACATGAAGTTGATACTCAGAATAATTTATGAATAATATGCTGTTAATATAAAAATTTATGTCTCAATACAACATATAGTAAGGTATCATTCAAGATGTGTAGTGGCAAGCACAATGTCCGGGCATAAAATGCACGATTTCTGTATTTTGTGTAAGCTTGTTATTTTACACCTTTTTATGGTTGAACTGCACAGCAGAGATGCTCAATCTCTTGCAATTCAAACATTCAACAACAAGTCCCAGCACACAAAGAATCAACCAATTTGTTTTAATGACTGGAGGTCAAATAAGAACACATATTACAGCTTTATTTTAACTGAAAGTACTCTAATAGTTGTGTTTCATCATGACTGCAACAACTAGAATGGTACAAGTCAGTTATGTAATTGTGCACTGATGTATAAGAAATACGGAGACAAAAGTGGACAATGTAATTACTTACGCATGAGTGCTGCAATCTGTATATGAGCATCTGTGACAACTTCTTCAATCCTAATTATTGTCTTTAGTTGGTCAATGGATCTTTCAAAGCCAAGGCGTTCCATGTTTGGACTTTTTCCACCAACTTCTCTAACATCTACTACTTCCGTGTGTAAAATGGTTTTAGAGGCAGAATCTCCAAAATTATATGATAAGTATTGAGCAGAATGGCCCGGCGAATCATTACGCCCATCTCCACAAAGAATAACACTTCCATCATATGACTCAAGCAAGTCCTTTCGCAATGTATTCCAGTATGCTTGGATGGCAGGAGCAGCATAAATTTTCTGAACACGCAAAAAAGTAGTTTCTGAAATGCAGGCGATATTGACAAACCGAAACAAAAGTTCAATTTTCCTAAAACTGTTTCCTGATAATAATGTAGACATGGAAAGTTGCAGATTGGTAGCGAATATACCATCATAACGTGGTTGCGATTGCCATCTGCCATTTCTATGAGTGTCAGAACAAACCCATTCAATTGTGAGAGCAGTTCCAACCAGAGAATGGCTGTAGGTGAGTTTTTTCTCACATTTCGTTACGACAGCACACATCTCCATGAAGCTTTTTCACCAGGTTAACAATTGTAGACACATAAGCTATACACTTTAGAGCTTTTTATCATATCAACAGCATC